CTTCTCAAGAGATCCCAACAAGCTTCTCAATTTCTCAATTTCTTCACTGCTGAACCCCCCTATTGCTGAATTTTCCTCAATATTGGGTTGCTCTGCCATATGCGCTTAAGGCTTTTGTTGCCCTATTCTCGGCTTCGAGGTTTACCATTCAGCTTCCAACACTTCTCCCTTGTATGCCTTGGTTTCTTGCAATAAGTACACTAAAGATTGTCTTTGTTCTTCTTCCCTTGGTTATCTCTACCTGAGTGTTTAGGCAGATCATTCTTCGACTTCTCCTGATTTATTTTTGCTGCTAAGACTGACCCATCCATAGTATGTCGTTCTAGCATGACACTCCTTCGAATTTCTTCTGCTCGGATTAATGAGATTGTCTCTTCTAGAGACGGTGTATCCTCCTTGCCAAGGATTTGAATCCTAACATGATCAAATTCAGAATTCAATCCTGCCAAAAAATCGTATATCCGATTCTTCTCAATGAACTTCTTCAAAGTGACAACATTTCATCTCAATTACTCGATAGTGATCCAGTTCTTGTCAAAGATTTTGCAACAGGGTTGCATACTCTGTGACAGATTTGTTTCTTTGTTTGGTGGCTCTGGTTTTTTCTCTGATTTTATACACAAGGGCAACATCACGGGCCTTCGAGTATGTTCGGTTGATATAGTCCCAGATTTTCTTTTGCGGTATTCAAGAACATGCAAGTGTCACTGATCGTTGGGTCCATGGAATCCCATAGCCAGGACATAATCATGGAATTCTCCTCATCCCATGCAGTAGAGGCTGGATCCTTTTTTTCTGGTCTGGTTCCAAGTAGATGATTAAGCCTCCCTTTGCCCTTTAGGTATGTGCGGACAATTTGGGACCATTTGAGATAGTTCTTCCCTTTGAATCTGTTGGATGCCCGAATATTCTGCAACTCTCCAATTTTCTGAACCGCATTGGATTCTTTGGAAGGGTTGGAATTGCTGGAGACAGTGGTTTCGGACATTGACATGCTGGGGAAGAGAAATTCACAGCAATTAAGGCTGGAATATGCAGAAAAGGAAGCCCAGAGAAGGGAAACACAACAATGAAGGCTGCTTGAAGAAGAATACGAAACCCCAGAAAATTTCAAGATACAGAGACTGAAGAATAGCCGGTTGCACAGAAAAAACCAGCTGGGTAGGGAGGCCTCACGACATAGAAACAGGAATCCAATTGAAATTCCTGTGCATAGAGACAAGAATCTGATTAAAATTTCTGTAGGGAGGTGCCAGCGGCAAAGGAGTCAGCGACAAAGGAGTTAGCGGCAAAGGAATCAACGACAAGGGGATACAGGTAACAGCTGCAGGAAATCGACGACAAAAGAATCAGCGGCTGCAGGGTGGAATTCTCTAGGGTTTGGAACCTGGCTCTAATATCATGTGGTAAATCAGAAATGAGAGAAAATAATTTTGTATTTCCTTCTATTTTTGAATTGATAATACATGGTATTATATAGGAGATTACAAGGAGAAAAAATAGGAAACTGACTCATTCCTAAATTTGGAAACTATTTAACTAATTCCCTCAATTTGAGGGATTACAAATTAATTCTAATTCCCTCTATTTAAGTGATTACAAATTAATTCTAATTCTCTTAATTTAAGGGATTACAAATTAATTCTCCCAACCTTATTTTCATCGCAGACACACCTCGACAACTTAATCCTCATTTCCTGTAACAGAGCACAAATTTACCCCATCCCTAGTATTTAAAATAGAGGCATGCTATCCGTTCAGACTAATAATGTAAAATCATAAAAGAATGCGTGTTATTTCATCGTTTGAAGATGCCCAGTTTTTTTTTTTTTTTAATTGTGTTATTTTTGCATATTAAACATTCTGATTAGGTTGAGATTTAAACTAGAAATGTATCATTGCGTTATCCACTCTCATGATGAAGAAATGCGGCTCTTTGATTTTTTCTTGGCATGCTCTTAGGATGGGATAGTTTTCTAATATTTTTATGCAAGTACTTCTGTGCGTTAATTTTGTTATGCATTCGGGACAACTTATCATAAACTGATATTCTTAATATATGATTTCAAATAATTTTGTGCCGCACAAGCCATTGTGATGTGATTTCCATGATGCTTTTGCATTCCTTCTTTAATTCTTCATTTGTTTTGTTTAGTTTGTGAGAATGTTAATTTTTGTTTTCTTGTGCTTTTCAGGTTAAATCAAAGCTTGCTATTTTGGCTTCCCACGCTGATGCTACTGAGGGCTTAGTTACACATGGATGGATCACCAAAATTGAAAACCATGGTTGTTATCTCAAATTTTATAATGGTATTTTGGGCTTTGCCCCAAGGTTAGATACTGTTCTCTTTGAGCTCCTAGAGTTTTATTCCGCATATCTGCTATTTATTATTCTTCTTGGTTCTGGTCGAACAAAGTTTCTTATTTGTGCTTACTCTTGCCAGTTAAAAAGTTTTGTTTACTAAGCTTGATTTTTGACACATGATTGATTTAAGATTTCATCTGCTAGTAAAACTAAATTCATTGTATGTTCTACTAGTCACCGTCTTTGCTATCTACATATCGTATACTATTGATACTGTTTGCGTAGTTAGCAATTTTTTTCCCTTTAGTTTTTTTCTGATTTTTCTATGAAGTTGTGCATGCTCAACTCTTTTACCGTTTTTCTATATGAAGAGCATTTCATGGAAATTTTATTATCAGGAATTAATGTTACATGAAGAACTGATTATGCATTATATATTTTACAGAGTAATTTTATGATGGTTATTTAAATTTCAGACATTTTACTGTAGAAATGATGCGTGAGTCACAGATTTGGTCCCACTATTAGGTTCTTTATTTACAACATTATCTGAAAAAATATATTTTCTTTCAAGATGAAGTGTTTTTTGGGAAGTCTTCTGAATAATTTTTGACCTTCTGAATAGTTTTGACTGAATTAGGTGATTATTGTCATTCACGAATTAGGTAATTACTAGAATCTTGTTTCTTTTGCTTGATTCAAATGCTGGGGTTGCACATCACATGGTGCTCAAGTTCGTATCTTCTAAGGTGGATTAAAATTGATGGTCACTATATGGCTATGTGTGGAATGATACTCGTGTTGAACTTTGTGCTAGTGAATTATCGAGTTATTGTGCAACATGATTCCATTTGATGTCTATCATTTTCTTTTGGAGAATCCTCATTTATGGGATAGGGATGTAGTATATTTTGGAAGCAATCACTTTTCTTAGGAAGGATGAGATGATGTTTGTAGCCCAAGTGGTTCTAGATGATTTTATTAAGTTGCAATTCCAAAGCTTTGCAAGGAAAAGGCCGGTCAAGACCTAGGAATTATATTTTAGTTATTTGGAAGAGGACTTATAATATAGAGTATAACCAAAACTTACGAACTCAATGTGGCCAATCACTTCATATGGAGGCTTTTAAGGGATTCTGAATTTCTGAATCTCTTGCTTACTTCTTGAATTTTTTCTACTTTTTCTTTATGATTCTTTTTGTAAGGGCTTGTCAGTTTTTTTTTTGGGTTTGGGCCCTATTTTTCGTTTGCTTTGAATTTAAATTGACATTTTACATGTTTTTTAGTTTTCTATATGGAGGGTTCAAATTATAATTTAAAATTCAAGTTTGAATTGATTGAAGTATTAATTCCTTTCTCTTAAAACTTACACTACTTCAATAACTACCATTTCTCCATTCCTCTTCCTTTTAGTTCTAGGTGAAGTAGGGACCATTGACTTCTTCTCTCTTTATCCATAGCTGTTGAAAACCTTTTACAAAATAATCCAGTTTTTGATCCCCCATTATTTGATTTTAAACTTCTTGATAGTGGAAACCGATTTTGCCTTTAATGAAGCTTCACCTTGATGTTAGTCAAATTTTGGGAGAACTTAAGTGGTATGTAATAATTGAAATCAGAAGGAAGAGTAGAGAAGCAGAAGATCAGTGGAGAAAAAGTTCATGGGGACATTTCCTACTTAAGTCACTCTTTCATTTGCCATAAATTTAACCTCAAATTTTAACATGTTGGACAACCACTTTGATAAAACCTTAGTTATTCCAATTGGGCCTTTTTCCAAATTATAGATCCCCTTGGTGTAAGTCTCTCTTGGATTATATGGTAGCTTTTTGAGGTCTCAATTTTTTCTCAAGTTGTTAGGTTGGAAAGAACTTGTTCTTCAGCATAATTATGGAATGTAATTGACACACCCTTATAAACGAAGTTCTAAGGATTCCATCCAAATCCACTTGAAATGAATTGGATACCAATCCTGTCCAATTATTATGGGGCAATGGAAATACAAACACAACATGAACTACAAAGATGATTGCAATGTTGTATTGATGCTAAATGATAAATTGAAACTAAGACAATGTAGAAATAGTGGTTAACATATATGAAACCGTGAAAGAGTAATGATATTTGGATGTAGAGAAGAGATTTTACCTTGTGAATACATTTAGTTGTCTCACATAGTTTTGATGCATTTATTAAAGGTTGACATTTCACCGATCTTCAAGGGTGGTGGGGATCATGGGATTACTAGCTTGTAGCTTGTAAGAATAAGAAACCACTACTTATATTCATGACTTGCGTCTTAAAGTGGTTAGTGTTGTTTATAAGGAGTAAAATGACTTGGTTAATTATTTAGCACTTTATGCTTTTTTGATGATAAAATGATTCCTAAAGGTAAGTTAGGCATAGGTGCCCTAAGTAAGTAAAGAAAAGGCTAGTTATTCATAGCTTGTAATGCTTTATTATTTTATCTATTGTGATATCAGTGGTGACAATGAATGGCTATAGGTTGAGGCGATATCGTAGGTGGTGAAGGTCATTGGCTAGACATAGGTGTCCTAAACAGGTAAAGAAAATACTCGTTGGATTTGTAATACTTTATTATTTTATCTATTGTGATATAATTGGTGACAATTAATGGATATAGGTTGAGGGGATATTGTAGGTGATGAAGGTCATTGGCTAAGTCTACAAGAGAAATGCAGGTGAAGGTACTATCACACACAAAAAGAAGATTGAGAATGTTATTTTAAACTCGTCAGACTTATCCAACTACTTTTTAAACAAAATTCTTTTTTTGAGTAAAAATATTAATTTCCTTATAAATAATAGTACTTAATTTCAACATGATAAAGTAAATAAAAGTATAATTTTTGCTTGAGATATTTACTTTTTGTTCCTTGAACTTAATTGGTCATTTCCCTTTTTCAAGTTAAAAGGTAGAGAAGGCACTTAAAGAGTGATTGGTTTGCTATTTATTAGATGTATTTTTTCATGAATTTAATGAATCTATTGGAGTTCCTCCATCCGTATATATTCAGGAGTATGACACATTTAGAGGAAGAAAACATTTTGTCTTTTGTAGGTGCAATGACTTCTTTACATCCTACTACCAGTCAAATTATGGGCTTGCGCCAGTTTTGTTTTAAGGTTCCACTTCTTGTTAGCCAGAAAGCCATTAGAGATTTTTCAGGTTTCCTTTCATTTATTCTTGAATTTAATTGTAATCATACATGATAATTAGTTACGAGGTCAATTTGATAGGCCTCTTTATTCTTCAATGGTTTGATATGCCCTTCATTCTCTTATGGGTTTATCTAAGAACGCTTGGTAGTTGTAGGATTTTACACTTAATTTTCGGATTTTATGAATGATGAGAAAAGCAAACTGCTTGGTACAAGAAAGTGAACCAAGTTATGTAGGAATGAGGTCTTACTTAGGTTTGCAGGTAGTTTAGAGAGAGAGAAATACAAAGTGCGAGCCAGAGGGAGGTTGAAAAGGGGAGCAAGGGTTTAATGGATGAGTTTCATGCTTAGCAGCTATAATTCAGTTGCCATATTATTTTTATTCTAAATTTAGAGGTGTCAATATAACTATTATATCATATCTAAAATAAGTTTTTCAATATAAGTAATTAAAAAAATTAATCTTATTAATGCATATTTTTTTAAAATTCATATTTCAAGTGCATTGCTTTTGGCCGAGTTTATTATTTAATTTTCTTTAATTGTGATAAGCTGTTCTGATTTTGAAGAAAAGGACTAAATATTTTGTGCTATTATGTTCTATTTAATTCTTCATTTGTGCTATAAGAAAATTATTTTTCACCATTCATAGCCATGCCGGGCGCATGTACTCTCTTTTCATTCTGCACACGATAAATGGACATGTATTGTAGTTTGTGTGAAATTGTTTATGGGCTGTTATATTTTACTTAATTACCTAATTTCATTTTTTTTTCTAACTTTGTTTTACTAAATGTTTGACAGATCAGAGTTGGGCTTGGACCCAGGAAGTGAACCGAATGCTGTTTATCATGTTGAGCAGGTTGTTAAATGCCGGATTATTAGCCCTGTTTCTGCTTCACGAATTATTCATGTCAGTTTTGTGGTTTCTCCTAAAAGGTCCCTCTCTTACCTATTCAACCCATTCAGCGCTTTCACACGCACACACGCACACACGCACACACTCACACACTCACACACACACTCACACACGCACACGCATGTGCACATGTGCACTTTCGTACACGCACAAATGCAAACTTCTTTTATTCATTGGTTTTTTGATTATGAAAATCCCCTACTAGTTGGGATAAGAAGATGAGATTGATTGTGGTGGTTTTCAGCTTATGCAAGCAGGTCACTAATGTTTTTTTTCTCCATAGAGAAAATTTTCCATGCTTCACAATGTTAGAATGCTATTATTAGTGGAACCGTGGTTGAGAGGGAACTACAATCTGCTCACATTTTTAGAGGATGGCGTGCCTCATTTTCTTGGAGAGATTTTTTTTTTTGGGTGTAAATTTTGAATAAATTTGTGTTAGAATTTCTGTTTTGAGTGTGCATAACAATTCTATGTATGCAAGAACACCAGTAAGAAATCATTGAAGAGAACATATTTGGATTGGATGATCACAATTGTTATTGGGCTAATAGGTTTTTAAATGGTAGTAATAACAGTAGATGGTAAGTGATGATGATGTTAAGCAAAATTTTTTGAGTGAAATATGTTAAATAAAAGCTAAGATTTGAACGCTTTGTATGCAAATTTTTGCTCGTGAAATTTTATTTAATGGGATTTTTTTTGTTTGTTGAATGGGAAGAAAACGTCTATTGAGTATAATATTTTGAAGAAGTTTATTGGTAAAAAAAACTGCAATGTGTATTTATTTTATGATAAATAATCCCTTGTTATGATTAGGAGTAAGAGGAAAAGTAATCATTCTTCTCTGTTTTTTGAAGGGGGTCAATAACAAATTATTCTAACGATTTTGTTTGAATTGTGCTTCGGTCTATATGAAAATCATTATTTTCTTAGTTGAATGAGTTATACATGGTGCTTTTTGATGGGTAATTTCTGTAACATACTATTCATATTTTTCAAGCCCCGAGAAGATCTGTTATTTATGAAGGATATGCACGTTTTGAGTTATAGCTCTAGTTGAACATTATTTTTTATCAATCAATTAATTGTTCTACTGTTAAATTTTTAAAATTTCGTTCTCAGGATTAGTGACGCTGATATGGTGCGGTTGGGTAGCATTGTTGGCGGCGTTGTTGATAAATTAACTCCTACTGTGGTTATTATAGGTGTTAAAAGTTATAAGCACTTCAAAGGTTTAATTACTTACGAACATTTGGCAGACCATCAAGGTATCTTATTATGAGATTTCTTTTTATTTGTGGGACATATATTATTGCTTTGTATATTTAACTCCTATAGTCATCTTTCAGGGCAAGTTGCATCGTTGAGATCCTTGTTGAGGCCTGGATTTGCATTTGATCAGCTTGTGGTACTAGGTATGCATGCAATTTTGTGTATTCTGAACCTTGATATATATATATATATATAAATATATATATATATATATATTTTTTTTTGATGTATTTTATCATTCGTGGCCATGCAATATTTATAATTCCTCCTTTTTTATGATTTCCAACTGTAAGAATTTTTTCGAAGAATTTTGTTTTTTTCTTTAAATGCTTGGTGATGACCACTCTCTTTGAAGATCTCCATGACTGGATCGTCTTTTTTATTTTTCTCTTAAATTCAATACGCTTAATTGAATTTAGTCTCTAATTGAGAGAGAATTCGATCTGGCTCATGGTGAGAGTGGAAAAGAATCAAGAATCTGCAGTGTTAGTTACTATTGAATTTTAAGATTAACTGTTTAAATATGTCTCTGACTTGCATTAGCTCTATCAGACTAATTTTGGGAAACTCATTGCAGATATCGATGGCAGCAATTTAATTCTTTCTGCAAAATACTCTTTAGTACATTTTGTGGAGGACATTCCTTCAGATATCACTCATATGCATCCATTGTCTGTTGTCCATGTAAGTTTTTAGTTTGTAATTAAAAAATCGGTTCCATTCTGACGCTTTGTTCTATTTTTATTCATTAATAGTTTCCTTTTGAAATTATTTTCCACAGGGATACATCAATAACATAATTGAAACAGGTTGCTTTGTTCGTTTTTTGGGACGGTTGACTGGATTCTCGGCAAAGATTAGAGTAGGTGGAAATTTTTTCCATTTTTGAATATTATTTTTTTAATTTATTTATCACTCAACCTTTATTTTGGGGCATGTCTCCAAGGCTACTGCTAATGGGGTTGGCAGTCTTTTGGATGCTTTCTACATTGGGCAATCAGTTCGCAGTCATGTAGTCAGTGTGAGGCCTTGCGTTCATTGAAGTTTTATCTACGTAAGAATTGCCTTGATTTCTCAATTTGTAATTTGTTTCTGAACACAAACTCTTGTTATTTTTACAGGTGGATAACGGAACTGGTAAGATAAAACTTGCCATGAAGCAGTCCTTATGTTTCTCTACGGATGCGTCTTTTATCAAAAGTTATTTTCTTGTGGAAGACATGGTTAGATGAATTCTAATGCCTTATTAATTTGTGGCTCGTATCTTTTTACGTTAATTTAAAAGGCAATGTGAAATGGACAACTCCTTTGAAAACTATCTATGTTGGCCAGCACAACTTTGTACCGAGAATACATGCGGTGAATAATGCTGAATTTTTCTTTCTTAAAAGTTGCAAGTGGAATGTGGGCGAGTGGTCTCATTTCTTTGTTTCTTTCCTTCCAGTTTTCTTTAACTTGATAAAAGATCATAATTGATCGATCTCATTCTTTAATTTTGATCTCGTCTTCATTTAAGGTTTCAAAAGGTGAAATTGAGAAGAGGGTGTATTTTTGCGAGGCTAGAGATAATCCAAGAGGCCCTTTAAGTCATAAGTTTCCATTTAAAAATAATCTATAACAATACAAACTATTGATATATTTACTTAATTCATCGCCATAAAGACATAAATTACAAATTTTAATATAAAATAACATTTTAAAATAATATTCGATGTAAAAACTCATTTAAAATTTAAATATGTCATGAGGATGAAGATTCCCAACGACCTCATTATCATTTTTACTAGTTTCAAATAGCCATCACATGAATTTATTTTTTCTTCTAATTTTTCTTCATTTGCATCTTCCAAATCCTTTTCAGTCATTATATTTTTCTTCTTGCTTCCTATGTTAGTTTACATTGGATTTAATATAGTTGAAATTAAAATAACAATCAACAAAACAACCAAGTAATCACATGATAATTAGACTACCTTTTGACTTTTTTCTTGGCGTTGTATTAGGTTTGTTCGATAAAAGTTTAATATAGTATATTAATATTAATATTATAATGTTATATGATATATTATAATTATTTTGTTTTTAAATAAACATATAAAGGAGCTCTTTGAGGCATGTTTTGTAAACCTTAGTTTGAGGCGCACAATTGAAGCATCTTATATACAATGCCTTCTTTTGCAAACCATCTGATAAATCCTATCATTTTTTATGGTTAATTGATTTTTACTATTGCTAATCCCACAGTTTCTATGGTTAATGGGTGAATAATTATACTATATCAACTACTGATATGCTTTGATGATCCTTGCATTTTATTAGCATGCATATACAGTTTTTTAGTAAGCTTTTGTGGATTTTTCCTTTGCTTATCTCAACTAAAGAGGTGCAAATTTTTAGTGCTCCATTAAGCCTTTATCTCTGACAAATTCTTTGCTTTTATCTAATACAAGCAATCAGTGTCTCATAGAATTGTCATTTGTTTGTTATGCTGTAGTATGGATTCCTTACCATAGTTACATTTTTTTGTAACTTTGTCAAATTCTTCATGATTTTGCAGGTTATGCAGTAAGTTTAATTTTACATTAGTCTGTATCTTTAAGCCTTATCCAATTACTTGTGTTCAACTTATTGATTCTTCATTTTTGTATAATTATTTACCAGCAGGCCTTGGGTCAAGTGGTTTGTTTTGGTTTCTAACTTGGAAGTACCAAGCTTCAATCTTAGTGGATGCATAGAACTATGATGAATTTCTCTTTATCGATGCAGATTTAATAGTTGTAATTGATTATGTGTTCATCTTCTTATTTGTAATTAATCGTGTGCCCATTTTTTATTTGTGCTCACCTCGGGCCCTCACATAGACACACACACACACACACACACACACACACACACACACACACACACACACACACACACACACACACACACACACACACACACACACACACACACACACACACACACACACACACACACACACACAGGTTGTATGAGAAGAGCCCAAAAGAGGCACCAT